CCTTTGCTTTCACCACCCGAACATAAAGATACTGCATTTGCTCAACCAAGTCATAGGTACTAGTAAGCTTATCACCCGTGACCTTCCCTCCACCAAGGTGGGGTTTGGTCTCCTTAAGTGAAAAATCTTCTTGTGGTGGTCTCTGCATTTTCAGTGCTACTAGTTCTCACTCAAGTAAAAATAAACACTGACCCAAAACCCTTCAACTTCTCTCAGAAATAACTCAAGCTACAGTAGTGCTCAAGAAACCTCAAATACACCAGAGTCTTAAGTATGTTTAACCCTAAATCTTTGTCAGTTGAAGAACTTAAGGGTTAAGAAAGGATAGAAAAGACCTCACTAAGGATAACCTGAAAATGCCAAAACCATTCACAACCTTAGATCTGATTCATCTGAATGCTTCAACCCTGCATAACGTCAAAAATCAAGAGAAATAAGCTCAAAAACCATACAAAAGCAACGCAAAAACAACATTACAGCTCAATCAAAAAAAGGCCGGTTCTCAGTTCTTCCTCACCCATAAAAAAGAGAAAATAAATTACAACTTTTAATGCTAAAAGTAAAACCACATTACAGCTCAACAAATACCAAGAATGAAAACCAGCCAAGCATTGAACAAAACCAAAATAACTTGGATTTACAAGAACAATTTAATTAAAGACACCGACTTTCTATATCAGGTAAATAATTAATCAACAAAAAGAGAAATGAATATACCTAGAAGGTTCATGTTAGCTGATGATGAAAGATAGAATTTTTTTGGTGATAAGGTTCTGAAGAGTGGAACCTTGAGGAGAAAAAGCAAAAGGGGTTTTAGTTGCTTTTGGTATCAAAGTGATGGAAAAAAAGAAGTGGAGAGACAACAAGGGCAAAGAATGAGAGAGAGAAAAAAGAAAAAAGAGTAAAGTTAGAGAGAGAAAGGGATGGAAAAAGACAGAGCAGAGGGTGGTAGTACTCTGTTTTCTTGTGTTCTTCAATGGAGAGAGGNAATATCCTTTTCCGTATTGTGTCTTTGTTTTTCTTTTCTTCTTTTTTTTCCTTCTTTTTAGTTTTTCCTTTTATTTTACTCTTGTTTTTTTACCAAAAAAAGAAGAAGAAAAAAAGAAGAAGAAAGTTGACATCTCAAAATTCCTCCAAATTTGACAGCACTTTTTTTTATTAGATTTCTAGTTTTCTACAATTTTACAACTTTAGTAACAAGAGAATCATATGTTTTCGAGTATGAGTAGTTGAGTGCACATGATTATTTGATTCTAAAATTACATTTGATGATTTACAATTATTCTTTTTAATTAAGTGTATACGAATTCCGTCAAAGACGAGCTATAATCACAAACAAAAAAAAAACTTTAAGTTTGAAAATTGATAGCTCTTCCGATCTATATACTCAAAAAATATATTCTAGTTTAGTATAACTATACATAATAGTATCTCTGCTTAAACGATAATATCCAATTAAACTAATTTTTGAAATTATGTTATATTTTCTTCTACCCCTCATTACTGAAACGAGTATATACATTAATGTCGGTCATCCCAAAGAAATAAATCTTGGACATGACCTTTTTGAGAAGACAGCATCAATGTGCAGTCTAGCTTTGCACTTAACAAATTCAAATTGCTGCTAAATACAATAATAGTTTCAATAGGTAGATCGAGGATTTTCTATAATTGCAAATGCGAAACTTGGGAATACTGCAGAACATATGCATTAAGTTCCAAAATATAATAATGCTTACTCTATGTGAGTCCACGTCGAATCATAATGATCTTGTAATGTAGGACACAAAATTTGACAATCCAACAATTCCATTACGCATTCATGTTACTGCCTACTTTATATTTAGAAATAACCATATACTAGTCAATCTTGTGGCGGACCTAGAGCATTGAATATGGGTTTTCGGAAACTCAGTATAACTTTTGCGTAGACTGTGTATTTATATAAAGAAATCAACTAAATATTTATATATATTTAACTGTGAACTCGGTTATTATTACATATTAATTTGAGATTACGGTAGAAACACATAAACTTCAAATTTTAGATCCGTCGTACTCCACAAGATATACATATTTTGGTGCAGCCGGGCCAAAAACTATAATGCGAAAATATTCATTTTAAAGAATATTACATTCCATGCATAACTAAGAACAAATTTTTAAAAAATATGAATTGTATACCCCCGAACGCATATAATATGCATAACTCATGCAAAATAATTTCTTAAGGAGCTACTTTGTTTTGGAAATAAGTACAAATTGATAAATATTTTATGCCGTTTGGATAGTTGTGGAAAAAACCCCAGGAAACAGTTGACAGGGTTCACAAATGAAAGCAGGACTTGAGCCAGTGGAGGGCTATTTTTCTTGCCCCAAAGAGAAGGAATTCTGAGGTCCACAAGTCCATGAGAGATTTTTACATAAATAGCAATCCGAATTTACTATTTACTTTTTTTCTAGTCGGTATGCACAAATTATATACTAATTATACGACTATTATACATATATTATATATCCATCGACTATTTTTCGTTTAAGTAATTGAGTGGACGGTTATTTAGGTTAATTCGTCAACCCATTGTGCATTTGTGAGCATTACTTAAGGCCCAAGGAAAAAAGTAATATAACATTGTTTGAGAGAAGGACAGGTTGGTAGTTATGTTTGGAATCTATTTGAAAATACTCTTGGTCTAACCTATCAATCCCACACCATCATATATATGTTGAATAATTGTTGGACTACTAAAGTTGTCAATGATGTACATAGAGTAGTGCTAGATATTACGCCTATTGTCATATGCTAATTTTTGTGGAAGTTAAGTGTGCTTGCAGGTATGAAGACCAAAAAAAGTTCCACATGTATAAATGGAACCAACAAATCTCTTGGAGTGTGGAGGCAACAGTCAACAAGGCATATCCTAAATGCAATCTCAAAATGCCTTGGAATATCTTTTGCGACATATTGACAAGATTACAGCCTGTTCAGAAGAGCATTGTGGTATATTGGATCAAACCAAATAGGGGCACTGTTAAGCTTAACACAGATGTGAGCTATCTCAGAGCTGAAGGAAAGGCATGAGTAGGAGGTGCACTTAGAAACGAGAATGGTGACATTATCATGGCCTTTTCACTCATCCTACATATGTGAGAATCACAATTTAGCAGAGGCATATGCAACATGGATTGGTATCTATTGGTGTCTTCAAAATGGCTTCCCAACAGTCACTCTAGAGCTGGATTCTTTTTATATAGTAGATATCCTTCGATAGGAGAATACAACTAACTACTGGCTTAGTCAGATTACCGACAAGATTGGACAAATTATAAACAACTCAGAGGTTCAGATCTCTCATTGTTATAGGGAGGCAAACCAACTTGTAGACTGCTTAGAAAAAATGGCTGCAAAGTCTCAAGATGGTGCTTTCTTCTACTCCAACCAACAAATGCCCAAGGGAGCCAAGGGTCCTTTTTATTCGGATAAAAGCTAGATGCCAAACATTAGAACCAAATATGACAATGCCAACTTTTTTGTTAGATAGACTTTTTTGTATTAGGAGGTAGGTGAAATAAGTTATAATCACCTATGCCTAATCTTTTGAAGGGTATGCTCTACCTGTGTTTGTCACGACCCAAACTGAAGGGTCGCGACGGGCACCCGGTGCCTTAGTCAACTGAGTACCAACGTAACATATTTTTTTTATCATACTATCATGGGTAAATGAGCCGGAAATGACCTCATGAGATAACCTGAATAAAACATAAGAGAGTACTCGATATAGGACGGCCCAATATGATATATAAACTTATACATGTGACATACGGGCCTATAGGGCCGACATGATCATTTGTACACTCAAAACATAGGCCGACAAGGCCATACAAGTATCCATATACATGAAATCTATCTACAAGCCTCTAAGAGTACATAAATGTCATAAAGGTAGGGACATGGCCTCGCCATAGCAATCAATATATGTCCAAATCATACTGACCAAATAGGCAACTCCGGAGCAAGTGGAGTGCACCAACACCTTCCGTTGAGCTGATAGCCTACTAGGAGGACTGTCAACCTGTCTATCGGGACCTACGGGCATGAAACATAGTGTCCCCAGGCAAGGGACGTCAGTACGAATAAAGTACAGAGTATGTAAGGCAGGAAAGCATAAATAAGAACAATAATATAAAGAGAGATATAGGAGATACAACCTGTAGCATCTGAGTGCCTCTGATGGCTACTGACATGAAATGCATAATACATATATATATATACATAAACTTTTAAAAACATACGCCTCTGTGGGCATCATCATCATCATATCATACCGCACTACAAGAGATCAGCCTTGTAGTGGCGACCAAAGTCGCTACAAATTCCCTAATTGCCGCCGCTAGAGATTATCAGTGGCGACCTTGGTGTTGCTGCAATTGCAACTGTAACTAAATGTTATTTGTGGCGATATACGAGGTCCATGCTAAAGATAAACGTTTAGTGGCGACTTAGTTGCCACAAAAGGTGGGAATAATCTGCTACAAAAAAATAATTTCACAACAATAAATATTAGGTGGTCGCCACTGCATATATTACCTTTCGCGGCAACTGTCGCCACTGTAAATGACCTTTAGTAGCGACTTATATCGCCACAAATATTAAACCACGAGAAAGAAAATTCTTATTTGCAGCGACTGAAGTCACCACCAAAACATTCAACCAACTGTGGCAACTATCAAATCGCAAAAATTACTGATTTTCTATGACAAAATTATCTCGCCGCTAAAACGTATTTCTCAGCAACTATAATGAGCAAATTATATATATTTCCAGTAGCAACCTAATTTTCAAAAAATTTAATATAGTTAATTGCCTACCAATATTAAAGGCTTCCAGTAATATTTAACAAACACCAAAAGAATTTCTCAAGCCAAATATTATAAATATTTTTTATTCCTAAAAAGTCAATTATATATATATTACACAAAACTTCATTGTGCATTGTCATTGTGCGCATATACATGTGACCCCAAAATAAATAAAATATTAAGTGCGCCGTAGCTGTTCCTTGGTCGACGCCATCTTTGAACGACACCATTGTTTAAGTACCTTGTACCTGCTAAACGAAAGCAATGTAAGGAACATAATAAAATTTGTTATATCCATAAATATGCATAACAATTAAAGTACAAACTTTCATGTGCTTATAATTTTCCATTCACCGAACCTACTTCAACAAATATTTGTAACCTACCAGATGACATTCATCACAAAAAATAGTGATTCAACCACAAAAAATGCTTTATGTACCAATACAATAATACTCATTCCACAAACCAATACAATATGTACCAATTATGCGCACAAGAACAACATATTCTTTTTTTGGGTAATGAAAAGACTTTCATTATCAAGTATAAATGGTATATCTCAAGAAAAAGAAACAGGCAAACTTCTGAAGATGAGCACAAGTCCATCTTTCAATGTATTACAAAACTATCCTATTTAATTTCAACAGAATCACATTTATGTAGTACAAGCTACAACTTAAGGATAAACGTTTGTATTATGCAACTTTATCGACGGTCGTGGCTTCAGAAAGAAACATGCAATTTACTTTCAACAGAAAATTTCAACAGAATCACATTTTGTGGTGCAGTAGCTTTTTGAAACCTTTGACACAAAGGTCATAAACAAAATAAATGACGCAAAAATACAGCAGTATGCTTCAACCCCATCCCTCACCCCTTACGTTTGTCATTGCAGCAGTGCAGCTTATCTAAAGTTGATCAAAAAATGGGAAAAAACTGGTAGCATGACACCAACAGAAGAATTTTTTCTTTCTTTATTTTTCGTACACCACTGTTAATTAATACTGTTAATCAAACCAAGAATACAATTCCCATGGATAGCCACACAATGCCACCAGCCCAGAACTATGATTAATAGTGTTATTGCACAATCCAGAGCATAAAATATATCTAGAACAAATCCTCACGGTTAAAATTTTAGCATCCTAATGTGGAAAATAGTCAAACAATGACAAAGAAATGAAAGCATGTTTACCCTCAATTGCGGATAACAATTGAATTTATAAGTGGTTTTAAGGATACACAGATTAATTTGATATAGAGCAATAAATTAAGTAGAATTAAAGAAATAAAAGTAAATTAAATTCAAAACACACGAGTAAGATAGTTTCAGCCTTAGTGAAATAGTCACCCTCGAGCCGGGCTCACCACGGCCGGCACCAACGAAAAGGAGCAAGAGCTAATAACAGAGAAAATAATAATATTTTGCTTTTGAGTGCGTGTTACAATGTGATTCATGAATTATCAAACCCCCTTTATATAATAGGGGAGTCCTACTTTAGGTACAACTCTATAAAAGGTAAAAAAATCTTCCGATTTACTGATTGCCGGTTCCCTATCGATAAGTGCCGAGAACCCCACCGTGATATTCGGCCGGTCACAGATATTTCGGTCTTTTGTTATCTATGCTTGATTGTCCGACAATGTTCTTCGAAGTCGTTCAAGGCTAGGACCGATTCCGAAACCATGACCTCGACATTGTCGAAGGCAGGCTCATGCCCCCGGATTCTGGCTCGGTGGGACTTTTGGCTCGATTTCGGTCCCTTGCTACTATGTCTCGAGCCTGGCTTATCTTGTCGGAAGCCAAAATGCACCATGAGCTCGATTTGGACCGTATATATATAGTCCCCTCATTTTTCGGAGAGTAAACAACGAGAAAGGACGACACGAGCTTCCGATTCTTACTTCAACACATCATGATAGAAATGACAAAATATCCAAAACGTCTCGTCTGTCAAGTCATAATGGCATTAAATGTATGTCATCCACCTGTCGGCCGTCATTGGACTTGAAACGTCGCTGAGATACTATAAATATCCCCTATTTCATTCATTTTTACTTTACATCAAACCTTCTACCCTCGTACCCTTAGGATTTCAATACTCTTTAGCATTTTTACCCCGGTTACTCGAGATCTTTTGCAAGAATTTTTACCCGTCTTCTTCTCAAGCCAACAAGTCCAATCCTTCAACTTCCTTTCTTTCTTCATCTTTCCCAGATTTTCCTCCATTTTTACTTTCTAAAGAATGGTAAAGACTTCAAAAATCGTTCCCCAGAAAGAAGCTCCTTCTACTTCGCAGCCGGCTACTGAGGTCGAGGGGACCGCTCCGAGCGTGGCTGTGTATGAACTAGAACCCGAACCCCCTTTAAAAATGTTCATCCTCGGGGGATACTCGGTCAACGATAATTTCAAGGTTGAAAAGCTTCCTTCGTACAAGGTCGGTGTGAGGAGGTCTCGAGATACATCTGCTCGATTACCAAAGAGGTCCTCACTGCGGTCTGAAAATACTACAACTGGGCCGATAAAGACATAGTGGTCAATTACCACCTATGTCGAGGGATATCTAAGTGTTTACATTTATCCCTTTACACTGGGCCTGGTAGACCCCGTCATTTTAGATTTCTGCAAGAGGTACAACATGTGCCTGGGCCAGATTCATCTATCACTCTGGAGGATCGTGATCCTCCTCCATTTTTTGTGAACAAAATCGATGGGTGATTGTTCACCGTTGACCATCTACTCCGCTTATACAGTCCCCGAATCTTCCGGGTGGTGGTGGTGGTGATAAAGCTCATGCGTTGGGCCAGTAAAGCCCCATTCTCAAGTATTGATGAGGACCAGGATCGAGACTGGCAAGGCCGTTTTGTCCAAGTGAGGACTTCGGACTTGATCCCGGCTGAATGCAAGCCATTTCTTGAGAAGTTGAATACGTCACGTAAGTAGAACTTTCCTTCTAATGTTGATTTTATGTTTACTTCTCTTTTTCTTATCGGTATTCATGGCGGTGCAGCCGTCGCTCGGGTCCCAAATAATGTCCCTCGACTCAAGGAGTGGGTCGAGGGTATCGTTTCACAAATGCCCTACTCTGAGCGCTCGTGGAGCAAACTCTCGAAGGGCCGTTGGGAGGCCTGTTCCCATGGTGAGACTTCTTTCCCGAGTAGGTTGTGTTAGGCTTCTTCCTTTAACATTAAGCCCTTATTCCCTTTACTTCTTTTTGAAGGCTCGCCTAAGGACATCGAGCTTTGGCCTCCAGTCGGTGGCGAGGATTTGCCTGTAGAGTCTCCTACTCCGAGACAAGCCGGAGAGAGGAAAAGGAGGAGGGCTCCGAGTTCCCCGAGCTCGGAGAGAAAGAAAACAAAGAGAAGGCTGGTGCGCAAGCCAAAGGAAAATACTAGCTTCCAAGCACCAGTTCCGGACTTGCTCTATCGGCTGAGGGATGAGTCCGAGGGAGAAGAGCCTTTCATTTTTGTGGCCCGCGAGCTGTCACCCCTCGAAGAGCAGGGGGCCATTGAACTAGAGATCCGCGAAGTCGATCTGCCTCAAGCCATGGAGGTCGATAAGGAGGCCGGGGCTAAGGCTTCCCGGGATGCGGGCAGTGCCCCGAAGAAGGCACTTGGCATGATAGACATCATCGAGTCACCCTAGTTTACCGAGTCCATGTATAACGAGGCCCAAATGGTGAAAGAATGCCCCAACTAGGGGGCCCACAGAGCGGACGACCCCATCCGCTGCTTTTTTGATGGCGTGGATTTCATCGTCATGGAGGACGTCACCGGGTTAGGTGACTTATAGGTACCGAGGAAAAGTCCATCCTCCGGGGTAAGTGGGTCTAACTCGATCCCGAGACTGGTCAATCGGTTCCCTGCCCCGAGCATGGATCCTGGTCAGAAGCGGTCAATTATCATCATCGTTTCGGAGAATGCCCGGGTTATTTCCGCCCTTGTAGGGATAGCTAGTTAAGTTACCTCCGGTGCCTGGTTACGGAGGAAAACTAGGCCAAAATAAATGAGGTAGATTCACCATGCCTGTTCAACGAAGCATAACAGGCGTTGAACCGGGTAACTCTCGATAATCCCTGATGATTCCAATTTTTCTTCTAATATTCGAACTATTTTTTTGATAACTCTAATATCTTTCCTCATATTTGCAGTCCTCGATGCTCCACCATGAGACCTTCCTCCGGTACCGAGACGAGTTGATCCAACTTGAGGCAGAAGCGAAGAAGCTTAAAGCGTCAAAGTCGGTGGCTGAAATAACCAAGGCTGATGCCGATGAGATGGTGGCCCAGTACAAATCCGATGCCGAGGCAGCCCAGGACCGCCTGAAAGACATAGTCGAATATGTGAAATGGCAGTCTCGAAGGGAGTCCCTCGAGGAGGTTCATGCTCGGGGTTTTGACTTATCGGCCGAGATCGAAAGTGCTAAAGGGATCGAGGCCGAGGCCAAGAAGTTGGCGTATCCCGAGGACGAAGGAGACTCTAAAGGTTCGGGCGGATACAGTGATGAAGCGGGGTCTGGTGATGAGGCGGGCTCCGGCGAAGACGAGGCTGTTTAGGTGCCTTGTAGATTTTTCTTTGTTTTTGCACCTTTGTACTTTTGTTGAGGTCGTTTGGCCTTTGTAAAGATCTTTTTTATATATAAGGCTCTTTTTCCCTTCGACAATTTTTAAGCTTGTTTCCTTTTTCTCTTTCCTTTATGATCGTAAAGATATCGAATGCCTTAGCATGTAATAATTATGTATTGTTCGGAGGTTCGAACATGCCTTGTTCTCGATATTATTTTGCTTAAAAATTGTAGGGGGCTTGGTATGACCAGAAGCTTTCCCCAAAGTACTTAGAATATTTCACATTACAATTTGCCGAGGGTAGCCTTTTGAACCGATTTAGAAATTTTGAAGGCCTTATGTTTTGGTTACGGGTCTCGAAGGTCTTCGAACCGTTCTAGGATGGCGGTAGCCTTTCTAGTTTGGGTGTTGCCCAGTGGGCTTGTTACCCCGACTTGTCCGGGCTTACCCAAAAAAACCGTCCTCGAATAAGGATGTTCGTAGCCTTTAGAGTTTGGGCACTGCCTAATAAGCTTTGTGCTCCCGGGATTCGTTATCCTGGGTCGTCCAAACCTGCCTTGGGCAGCAGTACCCAAGCGAGGTGGCCCTTGGTCTTGATGTATTTAGGGAACCATATGTAAGAAAGAAAAAGAATTTTTAAGGGACAAAATATTTATCCGCAAGGTAGAAACTTTCTTTCA